TCTCTCTCTCTCTCTCTCTCTCTCTCTCTCTCTCTCTCTCTCTCTCTCTCTCTCTCGTTCTATCTATCTATCTATCTATCTCTCTACCTCCCTGAAGCCCGTTTTTTTCGGAGAAGACAGACCCCCTCGGTGCTGCAGGGGAGGAAGGGGCGAGCCGGGCACCATGGGGTCCGTACCACCCCCTCGATGCCCGCAGCAGCAAGCGGGTTCGGTGTTCCAGGAACGCTGGACCCCCTTGGCACTGCGGGGGAGGAAGGTGGTCCGTCCCACCCCCTCGATGCCACAGCACTAAGGGGGTCCGGCGCTCCCGCAATGCCGGACCCCTTTGGTGCTGCGTGGGATGAAGGGGGTCCGTCCCACCCCCTCAATGCCCGCTGCACCAAGGGGGTCCGGCGTTCCCGGAACGCCGGTCCCCTTTGGTGCTGCGGGGGATGAAGCGGGTCCGTCCCACCCCCTCGTTCCCGAAGCGCTGGACCCCCCCTGGTCATGCGGGGGAGGGAGGCGGTCCGTCCCACCCCCTCGATGCCCGCAGCACCAAGGGGGTCCGGCGTTCTCGGAACGCCGGACCCCTTTGGTGCTGCGGGGGATGAAGCGGGTCCGTCCCACCCCCTCGTTCCGGGAATGCTGGACCCCCTGCCCGCCGGACCCCCTGGGTGCTGCAGGGGAGGAGAGTGGTCCGTCCCACCCCCTAGGTGCTGCGGGGGAGGAGGGGGTCCGTCCCACCCCCTCGATGCCCGCACCGCCAAGGGGGTCCGGCGTTCCCGGAACGCCGGACCTCTTTGGTGCTGTGGGGGATGAAGCGGGTTCGTCCCACCCCCTCGATACCCGCAGCAGCAAGGGGGTCCAGCGTTCCCAGAACGCCGGACCCCTTTGGTGCTGCGGGGGGATGAAGCGGGTCTGTCCCCCACAGGACCAAGGCATCGAGGGGGTGGGACGGACCCCCTCCTGCGGGATGAAGCGGTTCCGTCCCACCCCCCTGGTCCTGCAGCACCTCCCTCGATGCCCCTGGTTCTGCGGGGGAGGGAGGGGGGGGGATGAAGCGGGTACGTCCCACCCCCCTGGTCCTGTGGGGGAGGGAGGAGGTTCGTCCCACCCCCTCGGGTGCCCGCAGCACCAAGGGGGTCCGGCGTTCCCAGAACGCCGGACCCCCTAGGTGCTGCGGGGGAGGAGGGGGTCCGTCCCACCCCCTCGGTGGCCACAGCACCTTGGTGCTGCAGGGGAGGAAAGTGGTCCGTCCCGCACCCTCGCTGCCCGCATCACGAAGGGGGTTCGGCGTTCCCGGAATGTCGGGCCCTCTGCGGGGGAGGAGGGGG